CCCCCCGCCGTTGGCACCTCCTAAGACAGTTCACTTTCCCTGAGATTCTCTGGGAGAGTCTGACTGCTGGGTGCTACCTATTTCTATCAGCATAGGAGCAGTCCAGATATTGACTTTGTTGTAGAATTTCTGATTCAGTATCCTTAGATGAATATAGTCTGATGAAGAGTTTCCTGTCGTTCGGACCTAATACATTCTTAGCTGGTAGAATTTGCTTCGGTAAAAGACATAGCTTTTCTATACCAACCCTGCTTATTTGAAGCCAGTGCTTAATGTGGAATAAATCACAGGAACTAATTATGACTCATTTTCTGTTGTTGCTGTTGTTTTTCTCCCTAGTGACCTATGGGATGACAAGTTCGAATGCCTACTATTACACCAAAGTCATGTCTGACCTCTTCTTACAATCTTCTTCCGACAACAGGATCTCCTTCCAGTCCATCGGGAGCATGGCGGATTTTTGGGCCGTGAGTATCAATGAGGTTTGCATGCATGATGCTTCCTGAGTCAAACCGCTGAATAAAATGAACCGAGTGGGGAGTCCCAATTTGTCTTGAACACTGCCACAGGGTACCCTATCCAGGGTCAGGAGAAAAGAGCAAGAGTCCAGGAGCACCTTAAAAACTAACAAAATTTGGGGCGGGGCAGGAGCTTTCGTGAGTGAGTCATGGCTCACTCACTAAAGCTCCTCCCCTGCCACAAATGTTGTAAGTCGTTCAGGTGCTCCTGGACTCTTGCTCTTTTCTACTGAGACAGATGGACTAACACGGCTACCCATCTCGATCTATATCCAGGGCCAGCGTGTGAAAACCGACCTGACTCCCTTTTCAATTTGTGCAAACTTTACCCTTTCTGGATTGGACACAGGGTGTGGGGGGGGGGCGGAACGGCTCGTGGGCTAGAATCAGTCGCTATGAGCATCAGCTGGCTGTGTGCGCAAGATGGTATCTGAAGAAAACCCTTCTGGTTCTTAGATCCAGGTGGTCAGCCCTGTTGGTCTGAAACAGTGGAACCAATTTGGAATCCAGTGGCACCTTAAAGAGCAGCAAAGGTTTATTATTGGTTAAATCTTTGCTGGTCTTAAAGGTGCCACTGGACTCTAAATCCCTTCTAGTTATTTGCCACTGTGTGTTATGATTAGTGTGCTGGTACCATAAAAGGCAGTTTGTTGCCCTTCCCCACCCCCTAGACCAGGGTGGCCAAACTGCGGCTCAGGAGCCCACATACGGCTCTTTCACACATATTGTGTGGCTTCCCAGCAGGGCGGCTGGGGAAGCAAAGGAGAGGCATGCCTCCACAATCGGTCTTCCCTTCCCTTCCCTTCCCCAGCCAGTGTTCCCCTCCCTGGGTTGGCTTGAGGTGGGGGTGAGCAGAGGAACAAAGCAACTTTAACGTTTAATGTATCCTCAAAGGCCCCCTCCCCCGATTTGGAGAACGCATTTGTCTCTTTAAATCCCTTCTCCAAGCCAAGCCAGCTGGCGTTGGGGGGAGGGGGAGCTTGGAGGATGCATTTGTCTCTTTAAATCCCTTCTCCAAGCCAAGCCAGCTGGCGTTGGGGGGAGGGGGAGCTTGGAGGATGCATTTGTCTCTTTAAATCCCTTCTCCAAGCCAAGCCAGCTGGCGTTGGGGGGAGGGGGAGCTTGGAGGATGCATTTGTCTCTTTAAATCCCTTCTCCAAGCCAAGCCAGCTGGCGTTGGGGGGAGGGGGAGCTTGGAGGACACATTTAAAGTCAAAGTTGCTTTCTTTCCACCTATTCCTCCCTCACTCCCCCATCTATTTGCTTTCTTTCTTTCCACCTCTTTCATTCTTTCAACCTCTCTCTCTCTTAGATAAATAAATATCATTAGCAAACAAATATCATTGGATAAATATCATTATTAACAGGGCTCTTTTTGTAGCAGGAACTCCTTTGCATATTAGGCGACACACCCCTAATGTAGCCAATCCTCCAAGAGCTTACAGTAGCCCCTGTAAGAAGAGCTCGGTAAGCTCTTGGAGGATTGGCTACATTCGGGGTGTGTTGCCTAATATGCTGTCACGGCTCAGGTGGGGTGTCACCTGACGCTGTCACCACTCTGTATTTAGGATCCCTTGAGAAGGCCCAGAGCACCCTCCCAAGACCTTCAGACCTCCCTTGTTTGGCCGAATAATAGGCGTGAGGACCAGGCAGAGTGCAACAAAGAAAAGGTTTATTTTTACAGGAGGTCAGTCAAATAAGATGCAGGAATAATAACAGTAAGTGGGTGAAAATAAAATAAATCAAATGTCCTAACGCGTCTAAATATATACTGTCCCTAGCTCACTATCTAAAGTGGCCTTGGACTACTCATACTTCCCTCAGGATGAGGGTCTCTTCCCCATAGCAGCCTCTTTTATGGCCCTGTTCCCTGGGAAGAAGAACAGCTTTTCCTCTTGTACCAGTTCTTTTATTCCCCAGCCCTCGTCTTCCCTATTGGTCAAAATCGGCGCCAAAACTTCCCAAGGCTTTCTGGGGTTTGTAAGCCCAGCCTCCCCTACTGCTAGCCAGGTTCCCTGGGCCTAGTAGGCCTCTGGTGGCACAGCCCAGATCATGACATATGCAAAGGAGTTCCTGCTACAAAAAGAGCCCTGATTATCAATATCTGTTTTTAACCCTTTTGTTTTTATTTCTAGCCATCTCACTTAATGTTAACAAAAAGCAAATGTCCGTATTTTTCAATCAAAACATGTGTAATATTTGTCCATGTCTTGCGGCTCTCAGACATCTGACGTTTATTCTGTGTGGCTCTTATGTTAAGCAAGTTTGGCCACCCCTACCATAGATAGCGGTGTCTCCCCTCCCCTCCCCCCTTCCATTCCCTTCCCTTATCTGTTACACAAGAGCCACAAACTCTTCCCATTTCTGAAGTGAGATTCTCCTGGAATCCCGCAATGCCTCCTGTCCCAGGTAGGCCAATGAGAGAGGCCGATTGGCCCGGCAGGATTTCTCTCTCTTCAGGTTGGAGACTGATCCCATCTGCGTCCTGTGGTGTGCCTGTCTCCAGTTATCTTCCTCTGTTTCCCCTTTCTGTGTATTTCCACAGTATACACAGGGCCCCTTATTGGATAGTTTGTATTGGACCAAGTGGTACAATAACGAATCCCTGGGCCAGAACACTCAGTCCTACATCTATTACGAGAACTTTCTGCTCGGGGTCCCGCGGCTGCGTCAGCTGAAGGTCCAGAACAACTCCTGCGTCGTGCACGAGGATTTCAAAGACGACATTTTTGGCTGCTATGATGTGTACAGCGAGGAGAATGAGGACAAAGCTCCCTTTGGGCTCATCAACGGAACAGCGTAAGTGGGACATAGCGAGGGTTGCCAACTCAGGGCTGGGGAATTGCTGGAGTTTTTTTTGGGGGGGGGAAGGATCGCAGTGTGGCATAATGCCACCAGGGCCCTGCGGGACTTAATGCAATTCCACAGGACCTGCAAGGCACAGATGTTCCGCCAGGCCTTTGGTTGAGGGCAGGGACAGCTTCCATCTTAGCTGGCAGTGGCACCCATCTCCTTTCCTCCATCTTTTTGCTTTGGCCCCTCCTCGCCCTACCCATGAAACAGCAACACGGTCTGGAGTGGGTCAAGAAGAGATATTGATGCTGTTTGAGATTCTGTGGGTGCGGTCAGACGCGCCATTTGATCTGGTGTCGTGACAGTTCAGAAATTGATTTTATCTGCGCGATCACACAGTCAACATCTGCCTCCCGTCCCCAGCCGTCGCTTTCTGGCTCAAAACCACTTTAACCCGGAGTATTTTGATACCAGGTCCCCAAGTGGTGTTTTCCTGATTCTCCGGGTACCAGCCACATTTTTCTGACGTCTGATCGCTCCTCCGGTGACACTTCCGGTTTAAACCCCCTCCCTGCTCGAAAGCTGCCCAAGGCGTCCGCTTTTTGCTGCCATTTTTTTAAAGCGTTGCCGGTGTGCGCATAGGCGGAGCTCCGCCACCGCGTTATTAAAAACAATGTTTAAACGGTGCCTACTTGTAGCCTTGAGACGAGTTTGGGATCTCACGGAGGCCATTTTTGGGGTAAACGTTTAAAGGGAAGTGTTCCTCTAAAGTTTAAAGGGCACGGCTGCCCACCTGAATCTGTCTTTTAAATGCTGTTCACCCTCTGCACACATAACATTTGGAACCTCGGACAGAGTGTATTTCCTTCCTGCCCATCAACTCTCCCTCCCTCCCTCTCTCTCTCTCTCAACACTGCACTTCTGCAGGTGGCAGTACCACACAGAGGAAGAGCTTGACGGTTCGTCTCACTGGGGCAGATTAACGAGTTACAGTGGAGGAGGGTATTATGAAGACCTTAGGGTGACCCGGGAGGAGAGCGTTGCCGCCCTTCGAGTCTTGAAAGACAACCTGTGGCTGGATCGGGGGACCCGCGTGGCTTTCATTGACTTCTCCGTTTACAACGCCAACATCAATCTCTTCTGCGTGCTCAGGCAGGTGGCCTCCTAGCTGGCAGGATCCTTCAAGGCCATGAGAGGTTGTGGGAGTTTGGCAGCAGAGGGCTTGTCTTTCCTCCCCCATCGCCTTCCTCAGAGCACAGAGCTTTCTGGAATATGGGGTGCCGTGGGAAAGAAGCCCCTCTTCCGCCCAGTACGTGTGTACCCTGCGGCTCCTTTTTGGGAGACAGCATCAGTAGCTGCTGAGGGAAGAAGTATTGTGACACCAATACTCAGGGCTATTTTTGGGCAGGAACGCACAGGAACGGAGTTCCGGCTGGCTCCCGAGTTGGCCACGCCCAGCAGGAACTCATTAGCATAATAGGCCACACCCAACAGCAGAGACTCATTAGGATTGGCTACATTAGGGGTGTGTGGTCTAACATGGAAAGGAGTTCCTGCTACAAAAAAAGGCCCTGGGTTTTGAAAACAAACAAGGTAAACAGAATAAGAAGCAAAAGGTGGGTGTGGCTGGATGACCACACTTCTGGTAACATGGGGGTGTGTCCTAATGTGCTAATGAGCTGTGCTGTCAGGGGTGTGGCCCAATATGCTAATGAGTTCCTGCTACAAAAAAGGCCCTGGGGTTTGACAACAAACAGGGTAAACAGAATAACAAGCAAAAGGTGGGTGTGGCTGGATGACCACACTTCTGGTAACTTGGGGGTGCGTCCTAATGTGCTAATGATCTGTGCTGGCAGGGGTGTGGCCTAATATGCTAATGAGTTTCTGCTGTTGGGTGTGGCCTATTATGCTAATGAGTTCCTGCTGGGCTTTTTCTACAAAAAGAGCCCTGCCAATACTCAATAACCACATGTGGGCCACGGTCACACGGGCCGGATAACGCGTGGGGGGGCGTGGCTATTTGCGGCGGCGCAATTTAACGCGCCAGAACGCGATTCCCAACACCGCTCTTTCACTGCTTCTTTAGGTTGGTGGTTGAATTCCCGGCCACTGGTGGAGCCATCCCCTCGTGGCAGATCCGGACCGTCAAGCTCCTCCGGTATGTCAGCCCGTGGGACTTCTTCATTGTCGCCTGTGAGATCATCTTCTGCGTCTTCATCTTCTACTACGTCGTGGAAGAGATTTTGGAACTGCACATCCACAGGCTTCGGTACTTCACCAGCATCTGGAACATCTTGGACATCGTGGTCATCTTGGTGAGAGGAGATTTCTTGCCGTTCGCAGTAGGAGAGAAGAAGAAGAAAGGTCGCCGGGTCTGTCAGAAACGCCGGCGGGCGGATTGGGGGGGGGGACACATCCGGGAGCCACAGGTATTGTCACGCAAGGTACCTGTGCCACCAGAAGTGATCTCGCGTGACATGCCTCCGTCATCCAGAAGTGACGGAGACATGTCATTGCCGTCGGGGGCGATGCTCTGGTTTGGGGGCAAAACTTTATGGTAAAATCAGCCCCCAACCATAGAATTTTGCCCAAAGACCAGAGCATCATTCCCCCCTCGATGCCACCGATGTGCTTAGAATCATAGAATGTTAGAGTTGGAAGGGTCCTTGCAGGTCATCTAGTCCAACCCCCTGCACTCTGCGGGAGCATAGCCGAAAGATAACCCTACAACATACCCAAAAGGTGGTCATCCAGCCTCCGCTTGAAAACGTCCAGCGAAGGAGCATCCACCACCTCCGGAGGCAGCCTGTTCCACTGCTCCACCACTCTTACAGTTAGGAGGTTTCTCCCGATATTTAGCCAGTAACGACTCCCTTGTGATTTCCACCCATTAGATCTAGTCTTGCAATCTGGAGGAAGAGAGAATAGATCTGCTCCATCTTCTATGTGACAGTCCTTCAAATACTTGCAGACTGCAATCCTGTCCCCTTTAGGCCTTCTCTTTCCTTGTGTCACTTAGCAGGCTCAGGGTGGCTTACAGAACATAAATAACCATTAAAACAATCACAAAACCTTCTAAGAACAATCCAGTTGATGTAAGCTGCTAGTGCAATTGGTCTGGAGATATTATAATCGTGTATTATAATATTATATTATTATAATATTATCTGGGAATGTTATCATCGCATTGGTCTGGGAATATCGGTCTGGAACTATTATAATTGTAACTCTGGGGGGTGGGGGTGGAAGGATGAAGGGAATGTAAGAAACAGGGCTGGGAATGTCCTGCAGCTCAGTATGTAGAATTTTACCAGTTTGTGAGAAAAAGAGAATGCAAGGAAGAGCCCAGAGCAGGTAGCCCCCCTGGTGCTGGGCTAGGAGACGGGTGTGTGGCGTGGGCTGCCCCCTCTGCCTCTCTCTCCACTGCTGCCAGTTGCAGGCTGGGAAATCAGAGGAGATTTGGGGGCGGAGCCTGCAGAGGGCAGGATTCGGTAAGGGGCCTCTCCCGTGCCACGGAGTCCACCCTCTGTAATCTGGGGGTCACTTGTAATCCCAGGAGGTCCCCAGGCCTCATCCAGAGGTTCAGACAACAAATATATTCACTGCAAAAACCTTATTTATAAGTTAAAGTGTTCTATATGTTCCCTCTTATAAAGTGCATTGTGTATTATTCATAATATTCTAAAGCAGGTATATATTTACTACATGCAATATCAACAAGCGCTCCGTCTATGATTGTCAGCTGCTTAATGGACCTTTTGTAGGACCAGCAACAAACATCAATTTAAACTTCAGTGTAACCACAAAAGGAAACTTCCCCCTTTAGAAGACTTTCAAGTGAGGACAAGCGGGTGTACAATTCTAGAAAGTCCCGTTGGGGTTAATTGTGTAAAAAGGATGTAAATTCAGTAGCTATTAGATTGTACAAACTGACTATTATTGTCCAATATGGTTTTTGCAGTGTATATATTTGTTGTTTGACTCTTCTAACACTGCAGCTTGAGTTTTCTCACCCGGAGGTTGGCAACCTGTTAACAGTCTCTTTGATTCCTCCTCGGTTTTAGCCAGGAAGGGCCTTGGCCTGGCATTCCAGGATCCAGGGAGGGCTGCCGGGCATTGCCCGACAGCTGGAGGGTTTGGCCGGGGGGGGGGGTGAGGAGGGGAGCGTCCTAGGAGAACAAGGAATACAAGCCCTTGTTGGCTCACTGGAAGCTCTTGCCATAGAGTTTCTGGTGCTTCTTTGAGCTCTGAGTAGTTCTAGGAATTGTCGGGAATTCTATGGTAAGCACTTCTTATAAGTAGAGGATATCGTGATCGTCTTATTTTTCTTCCCAGTTTACTACTTCCAGTGACCGTGCCGGGTGGTGGCGGGGGATCCCCTAATCCCCTAAGGAGGCACCCTTTGCTACTTCGCAAGAGCAAGAGGGATGAACCTCTCTTCACTTTGCAGAACAAAACTATGGTGGTGGGACAAACTCGAAGCCTCATGCAAATGCAGGTGCCAAGGCCAGTGTTGCCGTCCTCCAAGTGGGACCTGGAGAACCCCCAGAATTACAGCCACTAGTTACATCAGGGAAACTAGAAGAAGAAGAGATGGGATTTAGACCCCATGGCCCTTCACTACCCAAAGGTGTCTCAGGGCGGCTTACAAACTCCTTTCCCTCCCCCTCCCCACAACAGACACCCTGTGAGGTAGCTGGAGCTGAGAGAGCTCTTTCAAGGACTGCCCTTGAGAGAACAGCTCTGAGAGAGCTTGTGACTGACCCAAGGTCACACCAGCAGGTGCAAGTGAAGGAGTGGAGAATCCAACCCGGTTCTCCCAACTTAGCCACTACACCAAACTACACAAGCCTATTCCCCCTGGTTTTCTTTTTAAATGAAAAGCAACCTCAAGAGGCAGCAATTTTGAGGGACCCATTCTACCTGGAACAGAGGCGGGGGAGGGGGGGTTCATCAACATTCAGAGTTTTATTTGCCAGTTTATTTGCCAGAGAGCCAGCTTGGTGTAGTGGTTAAGTGTGCGGACTCTAATCTGGGAGAACCGGGTTTGATTCCCCACTCCTCCACTCGCAGCTGCTGGATGACCTTGGGCAAGCCATAGTTCTGGTAGAGCTGATCTTGAAAAAAGAGTAGTTTCTGTCAAGAGCTCTCTCAGCCCCACCTCCCTCACAGGGTGTCTGTTGTGGGGAGGGGAAGGGAAAGGAGTTTGTAAGCCTCTCTGAGACACCTTTCGGTAGTGAAGGGCGGGGTATACATCCAATCTCCTCTTCTCTCCTCCTTCTTCTTCTTATTGGGATGAGGCCTGACCCTTGGTTGACAGACAGTGTGGATAGTCATTCTCCCCATAAGCACCACTCATAAGGCCTCTGGAAACACCTCTCGTTCCCCTCTGCCACGGCTTTTTTGGTAGAAAAAGCCCAGCAGGAACTCATTAGCATAACAGGCCACACCCAACAGCAGAAACTCGTTCGCATAGTAGGCCACACCCTATGCCTTCCCTTGGCTTGCCCGGGCAGACTGGTCCTTGGACAGGCCGGGGAAGGCACGGGGAGGCATTTAAATGGTGGTTCAGGAGCTGCGGTCGCTCAAGTGGTTAAGACGCTGAACTGCGGGCTGTGGAAGGTCAGTAGTTCAGCAGTTCGAGACCCGAGTGTGCCGCATGACGGAGTGAGCTCCCATCTCTAGTTCCAGCTCCTGCCAACCTAGCAGTTCGAAAGCAAGACATTGCAAGTAGATAAATAGGGACCACTTCGGTGGGAAGGTAACAGCGTTCCGTGCGCCTTGGTGTCTAGTCATGCCGGCCACATGACCACGGGAACGTCTTCGGACAGCGCTGGCTCTTCGGCTTGGAAACGGAGATGAGCATCGCAACCCCAGAGCCGGATTCGACTGGCTTTCGAGCAAGGGAACCTTTACCTTTTACCGATCCTTCCAGCGCCTCCCCTGGCCTGCCCGCCTCAGAGTCGCGGGGTGGTGGTGGTGTCGCTCTCCAGGCCTTCCCTCTGTAGCCAGGCACACGCAGAGGTTTTGGCTGTAGTGGGCGCGGCCAACTCTGAAGACAGCCGGAACTCCGTCCCTGTGCGTCCCTGCCCCAAAATCGCCCTGCCCTCTGCCGAGTCACGACTGAATCCCGACTCTGCCCCTCAGCTCTCTATCGTGGCCATTGGATTCCACATCTTTCGCACCATGGAGGTCAACAGGCTGATGGGGCAGCTCCTGAAGAACCCCAGCATCTACGCCGACTTTGAGTTCCTGGCTTTCTGGCAGACCCAGTACAACAACATGAACGCCGTCAACCTGTTCTTCGCCTGGATCAAGGTAGCTTCCTAAAGCCCTTAACCCCACCACTCCACCCGTACGCCCCACCGGTTGTAGGTGGTTTGGACCACCCCTTGGGGGCCTCCCCTCTCTATTCCCCATCATGCTAGTAAGCCGAAGTGGCACTGAGAAGGACGGGAAGGACAGGGAGGCGGGCATGTCTGGGTTCCCTGCTCGATCTTCTCCAGATGCCCCGCGGCCGCGGGGCACCTGGAGAAGATCGGGCAGGGAACCCACGGCATTTAACCACCACCACCCCGAGTCTCTCCGCAAAAGCAGAGAGGCTCAGGGGGAAAGGAGGGCATTTCTCCCCACCTCCCCTTCCGGCGGGCTGGCTGGGGAAGGAAGAGGAGGCAGGAAGATATGCCTGGCACCTGGAGAAGATTGGGCTGGGAAGCCAGGCATTTAATTCCCCCCCGGGGGGGGGCTGGGCTCATTTCTGCCAGAGCGCCATTCCGGGGAGGAAACGACCCCTGCTGACCTTGATAGACCAGGGCTGTGGACAGACTGGCAGCTTGGGGCACTTTGGAGGCGGCGCAGAAACCTCCATTTCAAGCAGGAACGGAGATTCCTGGTCAAACACTGCACCCCAACGCACCGTTATATCTCAAGGGGGGGGGGGCGCGATGGATCTTTCACACTGTTGCCGCGTGCCATCCACAAAGTGCGGTTTGACATTTTTTTGGGGGGGGGTCCCTCAAAAAGTTCCTGGCATATGCGCTTATGCGCTCCGCAGAGTGCAGAGAAGAAAAAAACCGCCTGGAACGGATTGGCAGGTTCATTCCTCTAATCCGTTTTGTTTGCGCTCCCCCACGCCCAGACCTCCGGATACACGGAAGGAATGGATGGGAAGCCATTAGTGCCGGATGTCGACTAGGGTCTGTTTACCCCGCCTCCAACTTGTCTTCCGACGGGATGCGGACGACTGGGGGGGGGGGCTGGCCGATGTGGCCGTGTGAACCAGACGGTTTAATCCGTTTGAGATCAGCAACTATAATCGGGCCGAACTGCCCGTCTGAGTGCAGCCCAAGAGTGTATCAGGATGAATAACAGCTCGGGATGAGAGCAGCTTCATGTATGCTCAGGGGCCCTGGGACAAGGGCAGAGGGCCTGCTGGACAAGCCGGAGCGCCAAGGTTCAGTCCCCAGAATCTCCGGCTGAGGCCTTGGAGAGAGGCTGCCGACCAGTGTGGGCGGCACTGTCTGCGAGAGACCTGTCCAGGGCCCGGCTCAGAAGCAGGCAGCTTCATATGTGATCGGGGGGGGGGGTCTAACTTGCATCTGTCTTTTCTCTCTCCCCCCCCCCAGATATTCAAATACATCAGTTTCAACAAAACCATGACCCAGCTCTCTTCCACGCTGGCCCGCTGCGCCAAAGACATCCTGGGCTTTGCTATCATGTTCTTCATTGTCTTCTTTGCCTACGCACAGCTGGGATACCTTCTCTTTGGGACCCAAGTGGAAAACTTCAGCACCTTTGTGAAATGCATGTGAGTGTGCTCCCTTCCCTTCCTTCCTTCCTTCCTCTCGGAGGTCTCGGTCACGCATTCTCTGCAGCGATGCAAGCACGGCAGGGGTCATTTCCTGCGGAAGTGCACAGGAGCAGAGCTCCGGCAGTAAAGAGCCCAGGGGGCGGGCACATGCAACAAGCCCCACCCCCTGCTCCCAGCAGCCCTGGGCCACGAGGAGCAAGAAGCAGCCAGGTAAGTTGCAGAGCCGCCGCCCCGGCCCCCCGGTCCTAAACAGGCCAGTGGCACCTTTAAGACCAAGTTTTATTCAGGTACAAGCTCTCCCTCCTCTGCGAGGACAGATCTGCACGTCCCCCCTCCCCAATAGCTAGCAATCCAAAAGAGTCCAGTGGAGCCTGAGCGGTGGGTGTTGCCTTCTGACACACTTCTGGTGATGCCATATAAGTTATGCTAATGAGTTATGCTAATGAGCACCTGCACCTCTTTTTCTACGAAATGACCCCTGCCTAAGCAGCAATTCTGATAACAAGCCGGCAGGTGGGGGTGATGACTTCTATGGTCAAGAAAGCGAACACTGAGGCAGAAAAGCTCTCTGAAAGGAGACCAATTTCTTGATGCAAAGTTAGAAGGGATCCTAGAGGTCACCTACTCCAACCCCCTTGCTCAGTGCAAGGGGAATTAGTCAACTACAGCACCCCACTCTGCTTAAAGGAGCGCACACCTTTTAAAAGCCCCACTCTAGCTATGGTCCTGCACACAATGGCTGCTGTGGAAGTCGAAGTCAACCACAAACTGGTTGCCATGAGATGGAGAGCCACGCTCACACCTAGAGGAAGTCCAAGTGCAGGGGTGAAGATGGGGAATGTGAAAATACATCGGGAAAGAGGAGTGAAATACTGGAACGAAACCCACACTGCACAGCCGATCAGATCCCCAGTGGACACGCAGAGACCACGCTGGGCAAGAGTTCCACCTGGCTGCTCCACCTTTCTGGAAACACTCGGCAGGTGCCAGGAAAGGTGTTGGTGGGCGCCACGGCCTCCACCGGCACCATGCTGGGGGGCCCTGGACCTTACCCGGACCATCTGGGGATATAGAAAATTCTTTGCTCACCAAAAATAGGTAAGGTGGTAGGAGCAGAATTTTGTGGAGGGGCCCTGGAATTCCAGCCCTTGGTATTGCTGGAATGCGTCTAACTTTAAAATGTGTGTGTGTGTGTGGGAGAGGGAGGGAGGGAGGGAGAGGGAGGAGCCGGATGACCGAGAGAGCATCCGCCGGCCTTCTGACCACCCTCCTTCTCGTTGTCCAGCTTCACCCAGTTCCGAATCATCCTCGGCGACTTTGACTACAACGCCATTGACAACGCCAACCGGATCTTGGGGCCGATATATTTCGTCACCTATGTCTTCTTCGTCTTCTTCGTCCTGCTGGTAAGGAATCTTTCTTTTTAAAAATGGCTTCCTGCGCAATCTTGTCGGTTCTTGAAGGGGGCCGACAAGGTCTACTCTACTCGTTGGGGCTTCGTGTCCTTCGGGCCGTGCCGTAAACAGTGCACAGGAGAGTTCAGATAACAGGATTACCTGGACCAGCAGCTATAATTGCTTCCAAGCGAGGCTCTTTCAGTCATTCCTCTCCCATCGCCCGCCAGTCGCGGAATAACTGAATTCCACACAGCAAGGAATGCAGAGCTTCCTGCAACTCCCACCCGTAACAGTACTAGTGGATCCGGACAGCGTCATACAGGCATACGTTGGCCTTTCCTTTGGCAACTGATAACATACAAGACAAGTGGTTAATCTGTATTAATTTTTGGTATCTCTCTGCCTGGTAGTTCCACAAGAGCAGGTGGATGAGGAGGAAGAACGAGCAGAGAATATGAATCGCTGGATTATGTAGACAGAAATAATCTGTCTCTCTCTCTCTCATAAATCTTCGAAATTGGGGGTCAACCGTTTGTTTGATTGTAGGTGCAGCACACACAAAAAGAAGCAGTTACGCAGTGCACAGTCAGCATGGGATTCCAATGCCACAAGATGGCTTTACAACAGAATCAGACAAATTCATTAAGGATAGATCTATCAATAACTATTAGCCATGAGAGTCAAATGGAGTCTCCACGTTCAGAGACAGTATATCTCTGAACACCAGGGGCCAGGGCAAACAAAAGAGTGGGCTACTGGTCTTTGGGAGCCAGTTTGTTGTAGTGGTTAAGAGCAGCGAACTCTAACCTGGGAGAACCAGGTTTGTTTCCCCACTCCTCCACATGCAGCCAGCTGGGTGACCCTGGGCCAGTCACAAGTTCTCTCAGAGCTGTTCTCTCAAGAGCGGTCTTCAAAAGAGCTCTCTCAGCCCCACCGACCTCACAGGGTGTCTGTTGTGGGGAGGGGAAGGGAAAGGAGATTGTAAGCTGCTCTGAGACTCCGAGTGAAGGGCAAGGTATAAATCCAACTCTTCCTCTTCCTCCTCCTCCTCCTCTTCTTCCTCCTCTGCCTCTTCCCCCTCTTCCCCTTCCTCGGGAAGGGAAAGGAGATTGTAAGCCACTCTGAGACTCCTTCTTCTTCTTCTTCTTCTTCTTCTTCTTCTTCTTCTTCTTCTTCCTCCTCTTCCTCCTCTTCCTCCTCCTCCTCCTCCTCCTCTTCTTCCTCTTCCTCTGCTTCCTCTTCTTCCTCCTCTTCCTCTTCCTCTTCCTCCTCCTCTTCTTCCTCCTCTTCCTCCTCTTCCTCCTCCTCCTCCTCCTCCTCCTCTTCTTCCTCTTCCTCTTCTTCCTCTTCCTCTTCTTCCTCTTCTTCCTCCTCTTGGAGACTGAATGTTGAAGGAGAGGGGCCTTTGGTCTGACCAAGTGGGAATCTCCTGTCTTCTATGATTGGGGGGGGGGGCAGGGGGAATCCAACCTGAGATGAAAGAGGTGTTGCAAGACCACAAAACGGCCCTCCTTTATTCTCATTTGCTCAAGCTGCTTTGCTCAAGCCCACATGACCGCACGTTTTCCTCTCCGCAGAACATGTTCTTGGCCATTATCAACGACACCTACTCAGAAGTCAAGGAGGAGCTGTCCAACCAGAAGAATGAACTGCAGCTGTCCGACATACTGAAGCAGGTTTGTTAATTCCAGGGGAAGCAGACAAGCAGCTGACTGACGCTTACCCCTCCTGGGGCTTTCGAGAGGAGAGAGAAACAGGGGTGGCTGGCCACTGCCTCGCCTCTATGTACCGACCCTGGGATTCCATGCTGGTCTCCCATCCAAGTACTAACCGGGGCCAATCCTGCTTAGCTTCTGAGGTGTAACAAGATCAGGCCAGCCTGGGCCACCCACTTCAGGACAAAAGACATACAGAGGTGGTTTGCTTAATAGGGCTTCCGGCCTCCGGGTGGGACCTGGGGATCCCCCGCTTCTACAGCTCATCTCCAGACTACAGAGATCAGTTGCCCCGGAGAAAATGCAGGGCTATTTTGGGGCAGGAACGCACAGGAACGGAGTTCCGGCCGGCTCCCACGTTGGCCACGCCCACCAGGAACTCATTAGCATAACAGGCCACACCCAACAGCAGACGCTCATTGGGATTGGCTACATTAGGGGTGTGTGGCCTAACATGCAGGGGGTTCCTGCTACACAAAAAAACCCTGGGTTTTGACAACAAACAAGGTAAACAGAATAAGACGCAAAAGGTGGGTGTGGCTGGATGACCACACTTCTAGCAACATGTGGGTGCGGCCTAATGTGCTAATGAGCTGTGCTGTCAGGGGTGTGGCCCAATAGGCTAATGAGTTCCTGGTGTTGGGTGTGGCCTATTATGCTAATGAGTTCCTGCTGGGCTTTTTCTACAGAAAGAGCCCTGAACAGAGGTACCAGTGCAACCTTTGTGGATGGTCAAAGATTGGGGGGAGGGCCCCCCCCCCGCGCTTCTGTCTAACAGGGGGGGTCTGGCAACCCAAACCGCTTCCCTCCGCACAGCAGCCCCGGTCTGCCATCCAAGTACTAAGTCTGAGCCTGCTCAGCTTCCAGAGAGCTGACAAGACCGGGCGAGCCTGGGCCATCCAGGTCGGAACCCCTAGGACATTTCCTACACCTCGAATTAAATGAGGTAGGGCTTGCTTATAGAGGGAATATCCCGTCTCTAGTTCCAACCTAGCAGTTCGAAAGCAAGAAATTGCAAGGAGATAAATAGGGACCACTTCGGTGGGAAGGGAACAGCGTTCCGTGCGCCTTGGTGTTTAGTCATGCCGGCCACAGGACCACGGAAACGTCTTCGGACAGCGCTGGCTCTTCGGCTTGGAAACGGAGATGAGCATCGCAACCCTACAGTCGGATCTGACTGGCTTTCGAGCAAGGGAGACCTTTACCTTTTTACATGCCTTCAAAGCCCTTGCAGAAAGTGATGGTTATCGGGGAGCCGAGTCCTTTCGGGAGCCAGTTTGGTGTAGTGGTTACGAGTGCGGACTCTAATCTGAGAGAACCGGGTTCTGCATGCAGCTGCTGGTGTGACCTCGGGTTCAGTCACAAGTTCTCTCGGAGCTGTTCTCTCAAGGCCAGTCCTCAAAAGAGCTCTCTCAGCCCCCCCTACCTCACAGGGTGTCTATTGTGGGGAGAGGAGGGGAAGGAGATTGTCAGCCACTCTGAGACTCCGAGGGAAGGGCAGGGTATAAATCCAATCTCTTCTGTCTTCTTCTTTGTGAGAGTCTTCTGAAAGATGCCTGAGAAAACCAGAGGGAGCAAAATGGTGACTGAGAAGCAGGAGGCAAGGACCCAGAGAGAAAGGTCCACAGGGACTGCTGAAACCGGAGAGCCATCCCACTCCGTAGTTTGCAGTCCCTTGTGGGATGTTTTGAGTCTCGTGGCAGTCGGCAGACAAACTGTTGGGTCCCTCTCACGATTCAGGGGACGAGCTGTGCAGGACAAAATAGTGGTTTGGCCAAACCAGCAAGTAAAACTGTACGAAATGTACCTCACCCCGATCACCACACTTTCAGCAAGCGCTGCTCCGCGCTCACTCTTCTCTTCGGCCCGATGGTACGTGTCAATTTCACACAAGCTGCTGCGCAGCCGCATTTTGCCCCGCAGCTTCGTGCGATTTCCCCCGCGTCTACTCAATCCTGTTTTTTGAGGATTGAGTAGACTCAGACGCGGGGGAAATCGCACGAAGCTGCGGGGTAAAATGCGGCCGCGCAGCAGCTTGTGTGAAATTGACACGTACCATCGGGCCGAAGAGAAGAGTGAGCGCGGAGCAGCGCTTGGGAGCCCGCTGGGAGCCGCCTGTGGAAAGCGTGTGAACTCATTTTCCTGGCCTTTTATTTATTTACAGCTTCCTTATGTTGCTTGTTCTGACTCCTGCTCCAAGCAGCCTACGTGTAAAAATACCATAAACACCTAACATCGCTATCCATTTACCTCCACAGAAAGCAAAAAACGTGAAGCCAGAGACAGAAAAACAGCATTAGGGGTGCGGTCACACGGTCCATTTGATCGGGGTTCACCGCCGTCCCCTCTCGCATTTGAATTTCCCGTTCACATGTGCCAATCCGCCTCCCGTGCCGAAGCGGGCCCACTCCCGCAATGCTCCCCGGTTTTCCTGCCCCCGGGAAAATCAAGTATTTTCCTGGCACTTGCGCTTTGAATGGACGGTTTCGCCCACCTGGACAGCCATCTTTCCCAATGATTGTGATTAGGGCCATCTGACCGCTCTTTGTGCAATTTTTTGTTTTTTAAAAAACAAACCCTTCCGGCTTTGAGCGCTTGAGTAAACAAGCGCTCATCCTGCTTGGAGAAAAGTCCTGCCTGCCGTTCCCCGGCGTGGAAAGTTTCTGGGAGAGGAAGCTGGGGGGCAGGCTGGCAGGCGAGCGGGCTTTGGCATCCGCCCCAGCAGTCCCTGAAGCTGCAGCGTTAAGAGGGAGGAAAGGAGGGAGCCCCAGGCCAGGGAGCACACCCAGCTAGCCAGCAGCATCGGTCAGAAAGGAGAACTCTTTCAAAGGTGCCTTCTTTTCTTTTCATCAGGCCGGTGGCTGGAAAGTTGCTGGGGGTGGGGGGAGGTGGGCAGGCGGGGAAGGCGAGCTTGTGGTTCAGGGAGGGATGTGTGAACATCCCAACTCGGGAAAAAATATTCCGGTTTAAATTGCATCGTGAACAAAGCGCAATTGCCTTGCCATGTAACCGCAGCCAAAGACATCCACCAAACAGACCAGAAGCAACCTGTAAACTGGCTGAAAAGACACAGCCCCTTAGTTAAAAGCCTGGGTGAAAAGAAATGTTTTGGCCCGGTGTCTAAAAGACAAGCGGACGCCAGGCTCGCTTCAAAGGGAAGGGTATTCCAAGTGCAAGGGGCCACCACTGAAAATGCCCGGTCTCTAGTCACCTCTGAAGGCAGGAGCCGTGGGAATGGCGGGCTGCGGGTCTGATTTGTATTTTGTCATCGTAGTGTGTCATTCCAGTGTGTTGATGCTGTGGCTCTTGTGCGCCTTTGTGCTTAACATACGAGACGGCAGCGAGGCCTAACTTTTGCCGGACTCCCTTGGTTCCAGGGCTACAACAAGACCCTCATGAGGCTGAAGCTGAAAAAGGACCGGATCTCTGATGTGCAGAAAGCCCTGCAGAATAGGACCAAGGAGCTCGAATTTGAGGATTTTAAAAACAGCCTGAGAGAGTAAGTGAAGCGCCTTCGGAGTGTGCTGGAGTCTCAGTGAAGAGAAGAGGGGGGCGGCACCAAGGCAAAAAGGAGACGAAAAGACGGACGGGGCAAAGGAGAGAATCTTTAACGGCTGCATAACCCCGTGCTGGAGCATCACACATTCTTTATATGAGCCAGTTCAGTGTAGTAGTGAAGTGCGCGGACTCTAATCTGGGAGAAACGGGTTTGATTCCCCACTCCCCCACTTGCAGCTGCTGGGTGACCTTGGGCAAGCCGTAGTTCTGATAAGAGCTGTTCTTGGAAAAGAGCGGT